ATAGCCAAACAATGTTTATCCAGACCTCCAGGCTTACTGACCAGTTAACTTCACAGGCGTTAAGAAACAAGCACTTCAGAAATGAGAGTAGACACAGTTGTCCTGTTATTAAATGTGACAGGATGATTCAGTGTCTGTCTTATTAACCAGCATCTGTTTCTGCCATCCTTTGACTGCAATGAGTTTAACAGGCTCTTCCACCTTGGCAAAAATAATATTCTAGAGGAACAACACTTATAGACCAGTGTGCTTATTCTGACCTGTGACCTCCGAAGCCAATTTTCCACTGGCCTTGATGAGGACATTTCAGCTGCACAGTGGGGTCTCAGGAGAAGAGCAGGAGATCTCTGTTACTGCGTGGCCACAGAGGGAAGGCCTGGCAGTGCAGCTGCTGCCATGCCTGCTGGTATGACTGGGATGCCTGCTTATAGTCCCAGTAGGTCTGCAGCTCTGCTTTCCTGAACAGATACATTTAAAAAGGGGGTCAAGTCTAGTTACTGCTCACACTTTGGTTCTCAAGTTTACATAAATCTACCTATAATTACTGAACTAGTTAAAAAAAAAAAGAAAGAAAAAGCTTAAAACATATATTAATCTGAGATGAGTATATTTAGACATGATCAGTACATTGTGTTGGGTTTGCATGAGGTTTAGCATAAAAGTTGGGTCCTTTTTCCTCCCGTGTGTTTGTTTCCTTTCACTCTAAAAGATCAAATTCCATCAGGGCTCTCTGGATGGGCACAACGCTCTTTATTCTGGGCAGGAGAGTGCTCATCTAAAAAGGGAAGTGCATTTTTACAGTATGTCATCTTGGCCAAACATGCTCACGAGTGGCCACAGATAAAAACAGTATCAATTTCCCTGTACTATGAACATTTTTATTTGTGTTTGATCCAATTTAGCATGCACCCTTTTGGTTAGTTAGTTTAAATGGTCTTATACTTGTACAGTGCTTTTCTACGCTTTACAGCACACTCCAAGCGCTTTCACACTACTTGGCCATTCACACACCAGTGTTATCACCGGGAGCAACTGGGGGGGTTCAGTGTCTTGCTCAAGGACACTTCAACATGTTGACTTGACAAGCTGGGAATTGAACCGCTAATCCACCGGTTAGGAAGCAACCCGCTCTACCTCCTAAGCCACAGCCGGCCCTGGCTTGGTTATTCCTGTATTTAATTGATTTTATCAGATTATATTTTTTCCCCTCCCTGGAACCAACACCTTAACGTGGTGGAGGGGTTTGAGTGCCTGAATGATCCCAGGAGCTATGTTGTCGGGGGCTATATGTCCCTGGTAGGGTCTCTCATGGCAAACAGGTCCTGGGTGACAGATCAGACAAAAAAATCAAGGCTCATGTTTACCCTGCCTGGTAAGGGGTCACCGGGGCCCAACCCTGGAGCCAAATCAAATCAAATCAAATCTACTTGTATAGCATTTTAAAACAACATCCAGCTGACCAAAGTACTGTACTTTACATGGCAAAATAAAATCACAATAAATGACTAAAATAAAGTAAAGATCAGTGCAAATAAAAATAAAACAGCACAACAACAGACACACATAGCATACATTCAATAAATTAAAGTTAAATTAAAAGGAGTTAACAGGAATGCATCAAGCCCTACTGCGTATTAAAAGTAAAGACAGTAGCTGACCTAACATTAAAAGGTAGACTATTCCACAATTTAGGGGCTGCAACAGTAAAAGCACGGTCACCCCAGCATTTATATCTGGCCATAGGAACCTCTAAAAGAAACTGGCTTAAAGATCTGAGGGACCTTGTAGGTTTGTGCCAGTGCACTAGTTCAGTGAGGTAA